CTCTGGGGAGGGGGGCTGTGTCCCAGCCCCGCGGCGGGGGCAGGACAAGGGGCTGGCTCTGAGGCTCGGGGGCTGCGCCGTGGCCTCCAGGTCTTTCTCTGCTCCCTCCTCCAGCAGGAGAAACCCCCCGTCCGTCCCTGGGGGCCGCTGGACTGGGGGGGGTCGGGATGTGAGGGAGGGACGCCCCGTTCCTGTGGGGCTGCCGAGCCCCAGGGGCCGTGTGTGCCCCCATCGGGGCGGGGGAACGGGGCAGCGGGGCTGGCTGTGCCGGGGTCCCTCGGGAGGGGCTGTGCCCGGGGTCCCTGGGGAGGGGCTCTGGGGAGGGGGGCTGTGTCCCAGCCCCGCGGCGGGGGCAGGACAAGGGGCTGGCTCTGAGGCTCGGGGGCTGCGCCGTGGCCTCCAGGTCTTTCTCTGCTCCCTCCTCCAGCAGGAGAAACCCCCCGTCCGTCCCTGGGGGCCGCTGGACTGGGGGGGGTCGGGATGTGAGGGAGGGACGCCCCGTTCCTGTGGGGCTGCCCTGCAGACCCCCTTTCCTTCCCCTGCCCTGGAGCAGCCCAGCACAGGCTCCAGGCCAGGATCCCAACGGCCCCGTGTGGCTCAGGCCCCAGACCAGCCTGAGGGGCTCTGGGGGGGCGTGAGCGGACAGGGGGGTGCAGGGAGCTCTGGGACCACAGCTGGGGTGGAAAAAAGAGGGCCAGGGTGTCTTTAAGCGCCTGAGCCTCCCCCAGATCCACCTCAGCCCATCCCGGTCATGGCGCGGGCAGTGTGCCGGAGCCGCAGGCCCCCCCCTGCCACGGCCATCTGTGGGGTGGGAAATGCCTCAAGAGGGGCCCCGAGCCCCCAGCACCCCCAGCCCCATCCCCGCTTCCCCCAGGGATGAGTGCCCACGAGGTCTGGGCTCCGGCCGACCCCTGGCTCTGCGTGCAGCCTCCCCATCGCAGCCAGCCCTCCTGGGGCCCGGAGCCGGGGGTCCCCATCCCTCCCGGTGCCACCCCCGGTGTCCCCGCAGCCCTTACCCGAGCGCAGAGCGGGGCGAGCAGGCAGGCGAGCAGGAGCGGGGGGCCCATGGCGGAGCGGGGCACAGCCCGGCCGCCGGCCCCGAGCTGAAATAGCGGCGGGCCTGGCTGAGTGACAGCACAAGTGCTGCGGGCACCGGACCCCCCCGCGGGCAGCTGGCCCCGCCGCCCCCGGCCCGCAGCCCGCGCCCGGCCCTGCCCGGCCCG